AATTTTTCTCCCAAAGTCTCAAATCTTTTTTTTTTTTTTAAAGGATCCCTCAAGGGAGCTGTGGGCAGAATAGCTCGTCCTCTTATTATTTCATCCACCCATTCGGCTTGGTTTCCGACACACTGAGTTGGTTCACTGACTTCTGGTCCCACGCTTAGCTTGTTTACCAGGCACAATCTGAACACAGTCCTTGAGTTTTGTCATGGGGCCTTTTTGTTTGGACTAATTCAATCTTTCTGTCTCCCTCTGGTGCCTTTTCCCATTGACATTTGCTATTACAGCGGGTAGGGTGACATCTCACGAACTTCCATGTATTTTTTGACAGTTGAGCTCACAGTGTGGGTAAATCTGTAGCCCCAGTTATAACAACAGATGGCACCGGTGTAACTGACAGCAGGATTTGGCTTGCTGGGTCTCACTGAACACCCCCTATGGAGCCTGCCTAGCTGAATCCAAGTTTGTAATCAGATCGCAGCAGTTGCTGTATCAGCCTGGAGTTTCGTGTCAGCAGCTGCCTTGTACTCTCAGAAAGCTGGGGCGGGACCAAGATACACACTGAGATGCAATCTGGTGCCAGTCCGTTCCTCTCCTCTTGCTCTGCTGCCAGTATCCGTACTCTTCTGCCTTTCCATGTGTGACGGTCCACGTGTAGAGAAGAGCCAGAACTCTGCTGTTGTGACTATCCAGGGGATTCTCATATTGAGACTCCTGAACACAGACAAGCCCCGTCGGTCTGTCCTCTGGCTCTCGGTACTGCCTAGAGTCGCCTACCGGGGTCTCCCTCGATCCTGGCCAGGTCTCCGCAGTTAAGGTCGGGAGGGGCTGGGGCCTGTTGGAGATGCTTTACAGTACAAATCCAAAGCAGATGCGTTTCCGCACCTTTGGCCGGGCTGAGAGAGCGCACAGAAACTGGAGAAGACCGAACCTCCTTTTCATCTGCCTCTGACCGTAACCTCCCCCTGTCAGGAAATAAAAAATGATAATGAAAAAAAGAGCTTTTTAAAAAATGTGGGTCAACGTTTTTGTTTTCTTTTGACTCATGGCGGTCGGATAATAGAGAGACATTTTAACCTTTCCCTCTCGCTTCTCTTGAGCGGGTAATTTCACAGGAATAGCTGCAAGATGCATGTATCGTGTGAGTACATATGGTCTACTGGGAAGGCCTGTCCTATCAGCCCAAATGAGTGATTGGTGGTTTTATACACCCTGGGCAAGATTCACAATTGGTGTAAATCGGTGTTGCTCTGTTGACTTTAATGGAGCTGTGCCAATTGACACCAGCTGGGGATCTGACCTCTTACTTTAACCTTCATCTTCCATGTAAACTAGAACTAAAATAATTTTACGTTGGTAACTCATGGCAAGAAAAAAGAACTTAAGAACTCTAGGTCAAGGGAAGAGAGAGGTTCTCAGCTGAGAATTGAAATGAGAGGGAAGGTCAATGGGGCAGTGAGATCATCGAGGTTCTCCAGGTGGCAGTAGCTGTCGAGATGAAGGCTATCTCACCAAAATCAGTGAACGGGATACCAAAAGTGGTATCTGTCTGGCTATGGTACTTATCTGTCCCCGATTCCTGGAGCATCTGAGCGCTTCACCATCTTTAAGGTAAAAAGAAAAGGAGTACTTGTGGCACCTTAGAGACTAACAAATTTATTTGAGCATAAGCTTTCGTGAGCTACAGCTCACTTCATCGGATGCATTCAGTGGAAAATGCAGTGGGGAGATTTATATACATAGAGAACATGAAACAATGGGTGTTACCATACAGACTGTAACGAGAGTGATCACTTAAGGTGAGCTATTACCAGCAGGAGAGCGGGGGGGAGAGGGGGAACGACCTTTTGTAGCGATAATCAAGATGGGCCATTTCCAGCAGTTGACAAGAACGTCTGAGGAACAGTAGGGGGTGGGGGATGGAATAAACATGGGGAAATAGTTTTACTTTGTGTAATGACCCATCCACTCCCAGTTTCTATTCAAGTTTTTTTATCCAGTTTGCAAATTAATTCCAATTCAGCAGTCTCTCGTTGGAGTCTGTTTTTGAATTTTTTTTGTTGAAGAATTGCAACTTTTAGGTTTGTAATCGAGTGACCAAAGAGATTGAAGTGTTCTCCAACTGATTTTTGAATGTTATAATTCTTGACGTCTGATTTGTGTCCATTTATTCTTTTACGTAGAGACTGTCCAGTTTGTCCAATGTACATGGCAGAGGGGCATTGCTGGCACATGATGGCATATATCCCACTGGTAGATGTGCAGGTGAACGAGCCTCTGATAGTGTGGCTGATGTGATTAGGCCCTATGATGGTGTCCCCTGAATAGATATGTGGACACAGTTGGCAACGGGCTTTGTTGCAAGGATAGGTTCCTGGGATAGTGGTTCTGTTGTGCGGTCTGTGGTTGCTGGTGAGTATTTGCTTCAGGTTGGGGGGCTGTCTGTAAGCAAGAACTGACCTGTCTCCCAAGATCTGTGAGAGTGATGGGTCGTCCTTCAGGATAGGTTGTAGATCCCTGATGATGTGTTGGAGAGGTTTTAGTTGGGGGCTGAAGGTGACGGTTAGTGGCCTTCTGTTATTTTCTTTGTTGGGCCTGTCCTGTAGTAGGTGACTTTTGGGTACTCTTCTGGCTCTGTCAATCTGTTTCTGCACTTCAGCAGGTGGGTATTGTAGTTGTAAGAATGCTTGATAGAGATCTTGTAGGTGTGTGTCTCTGTCTGAGGGGTTGGAGCAAATGCCGTTGTATCGTAGAGCTTGGCTGTAGACAATGGATCGTGTGGTGTGGTCAGGGTGAAAGCTGGAGGCATGCAGGTAGGAATAGCGGTCAGTAGGTTTCCGGTATAGGGTGGTGTTTATGTGACCATCGCTTATTAGCACCGTAGCGTCCAGGAAGTGGATCTCTTGTGTGGACAGGTCCAGGCTGAGGTGGATGGTGGGATGGAAATTGTTGAAATCATGGTGGAATTCCTCAAGGGCTTCTTTTCCATGGGTCCAGATGATGAAGATGTCATCAATATAGCGCAGGTAGAGTAGGGGCATTAGGGGATGAGAGCTGAGGAAGCGTTGTTCTAAGTCAGCCATAAAAATGTTGGCATACTGTGGGGCCATGCGGGTACCCATAGCAGTGCCGCTGATTTGAAGGTATACATTGTCCCCAAATGTGAAATAGTTATGGGTGAGGACAAAGTCACAAAGTTCAGCTACCAGGTTTGCCGTGACATTATCAGGGATACTGTTCCTGACGGCTTGTAGTCCATCTTTGTGTGGAATGTTGGTGTAGAGGGCTTCTACATCCATAGTGGCCAGGATGGTGTTTTCAGGAAGATCACCGATGGATTGTAGTTTCCTCAGGAAATCAGTGGTGTCTCGAAGATAGCTGGGAGTGCTGGTAGCGTAGGGCCTGAGGAGGGAGTCTACATAGCCAGACAATCCTGCTGTCAGGGTGCCAATGCCTGAGATGATGGGGTGCCCAGGATTTCCAGGTTTATGGATCTTGGGTAGCAGATAGAATACCCCAGGTCGGTGTTCTAGGGGTGTGTCTGTGCGGATTTGTTCTTGTGCTTTTTCAGGGAGTTTCTTGAGCAAATGGTGTAGTTTCTTTTGGTAACCGTCAGTGGGATCAGAGGGTAATGACTTGTAGAAAGTGGTGTTGGAGAGCTGCCTAGCAGTTCTCCTCACCGCCCCAGCCCCCGGGGAGTCAGGGAAGTGCTCTTATCCCTGTTGTACAGGTGGGGAAATTGAGGCACAGAAACCAAGTGACTTGCCCAAGGTCACACAGGAAATCGGTGGCAAAGTAAGGAATTGAATAGGACCTCCCACCCCTAAGGTTAGTGTCCTCACCGCTGGGCGATCCTTCTTCTCCTGGGCTGAGGAGAATAGAGACAAGGGAGCAAATGTTGCTCTGTTATGCTAGCATAAACGCAAAGTCAGGCCGCTGGCTTCCAGAGTCGCTCTGGGCGTATGCTGGTGTAGCTAGCAAAAGAATTTGGCACAAGGCCGATGAGATAAGCTGGGGTCAATCTATGGCGGGTTTCAAAGACCCGGGCATTTTAAGGGAGGATGGCCTTGTGGTTAAGGCGCTTCATCTGGATTAAGTCCCATCTCGGTTGCAGTCTCCCTAGATGAGCTTGGGCCAGTTGCTTCGTCTCTCTGGGCCTCGGTCCCAGGTCTCATGCACTGTGCCTGCATTTCTCCAGCGAGAGAAAGTCAACCCCACAGACAGACCCTGCATTTTCTACCTTTGCTGTTCTTGTCTTGCATGTGTTTGTCTTGCGGTGTCTGCTCGAAAACGAGATCGGGCCTTAGCAGCAGCAGCAAGGCCAGTTCCAGCCCATCTCAACAAACATCTTCTCTTTTCCCAAGGGACAGTTAATGCCATCTTTAATGCCAGACGAGGCATTTTTCCTTTCTAAAAATTCTCTCCAGCTCACGGGAAAGGGAACAAGGGATGCTGTTAAAATGGAAGCCCTTATTTAATACTGGCTGTTTCCAGCGCTTTAACGGTTTTTCCTTCTTTTGGGCATCTTTACCAGAAAGTTCCAAGGATTTTGAATGGCTCGTTTGCCATGGCACTAAGCAGGCGAAGGTCTTGGCAAACCAAGCCCAGAACCTTATTTAAGTCCGTTTAACGTAGTGACTGGGCTATATCTGCACCTTTGGGACCTTTCTTTCTCCCACCCTTTTTTCTGGCTTCTCTGCGCTCTTTGGGGTTGTCTCTCGCTCCGTGTCTGTGCAGCGCCCAGATCTCAGTCAGCACCTGTGGGTGCTCCGGTGATCAAGTAATGCATTCTTCTCTCCGTTGCACCAGTTCTGCTCTCCGTGAAGCGGCAGGGGTGTCGCTGCGGGGCACAGTTTGGCCAAGGGAGGGCAGTTTAGAACAGGGTTTTGGACATGATGCCTCTGTTCCCATCACCCCTTCGGCACCCTGCGATGCAAAGGCTGTTTCCAGGGGGTGGTTGTCCACGCTGGTGTTTCAGGGCTCACTGCAGCTTCTGTTTGACCTAGGACGGAGCTCTTGATCTGCTGAAAGAACTGAACGGCTACACTATGACCATCGAGCTGCTGCAGGTGAGGGGGAGTGGGTGGAAGAGAGGGAGGCGCATAACTCCAGCATATAATGGGTTACTTGGATCTGAAGAAGGGGCAGTACACGGGGGAGGTAACATGGAATTCAGAGTATGTTACAAGCACTTGGTGTTGCTCTTTGCCCCCCTCCTGTTGTGGCTAGGCCAGCTAGAGCTTGCCAAGCCTGCTACAGCCTGGGCTGAGGGAGCAGGGCCTTATTGAGAGGTCCCAGGTTCGATCCCTGTGGCTGACAACCCACCCAGAGATGAGATGTGTAAGCTGGGCTGCCCAATGTCTAATGGGAGAGACGTTCAAACCACTTGAGCTCCAGCCATTTCCTTTAAGAGGCTTTTTAAATAAAACGTTGGGTCAGACTGCGAGGGACCTGTCAGGTTATCAGACCAGCTCCTAAACGACCGCTCTTGCTAGCGGTAGGGAGGGTCCCACCACGTCACTTGTTCTCTCGAGATGATTTCAAAAGCGAGCTGTGATTGTCCTTTGCTGTAGTCCTGTCTCCTCTCTGGGTCCTTCCTCCACCTGGGAAAGCAGGGGGCTGTAAGAGCCTGCTGTCATGAACTTTCCTGATGTATTCCCTTGGCCCCACACCAGAGGAGCAGGGGGAAGAGGAGCCATACCAGTTTCTATCCATCCATAATTGTATTTATTAATATTTATTTATTATTTGTATTATTGTCTCACCTAAGAACCCCAGTCATGGACCAGGGTCTCACTACGCTAGGTGCTGTACAAACACAAAACAAAAAGATAGTCTTTGTCCCATCCAGCCAAGGTACTGACATGGCCCCCATTGCTGTAATATTTGAGCACCTCACCACCACACCCTGGGAGGTAGGGCAGCTCTATTATGCCCTATTGTACAGATGAGGAAACCAAGGCACAGAGCGGTTAAGTGATTTACCCAAGATCACACAGGGAGTCTGCAGCAGGTTAGTGTGTTAACCACCGGGCTACCTTTCCTCTCTGTTCTGCCTCCTTCTTTGATCTGCTTAATAATAAACAAACGTCCATGTGTGTTCCCAGTCCACGAGAATCGGCGTGGCCGTCAACACTGTCCGGAAGCAGTGCTCGGACGAAGAGGTGGTGGCCCTGGCGAAAATCCTCATCAGGAACTGGAAACGTCTGCTAGGTGAGAGATCCTGAGGCTGCTTCAGCCTCACGAGTAAAATGCTAACTGGCCCCGAAACCTCCGTGGGCCCTTTGATTCTACACAGTCCTTAGGGTCTCTTTACTCCCTGGGATACAAACAGCTAATGGGCCTGGCTGTTGGTTTTAATTTGGCAGAAGGGTCATTAGGTGGCTTATTGGTGAGAAGATCTGGACAGAGCCATGTGCAGAGTGGGCAGGTTGTGTTTAAGTGACACTCCTGTACCTGGTCCTGACTTTCAGGGCAGCTCTGTCCGTGCACCCACTAATCACAGTAATGCCTATATCCTATATAACACTTTTCATCAGTAGATCCCAAAGCGCTGCCTATCTTTAATGATTTTATCCTCACACTCCACCTGTGAGGCAGGCCGGTGCTATTAGAGAGGGGAAGCTGAGGCACAGAGAGGCTACATGAGTGCCCACGATCTCACAGGAAGTCCACGGCAGAGCAGGAAATTCACCCCCGGTCTCCCATGTTCGAAGACCACTGGCCCCTCCTGCTCACCATGGAAACTCTCCATGCTGTTTCAAGTCGTAGGTCCACATGCAAGTTCTGCCAGCGCATGCAACTCAACCCTGACCTGCATCTCTCTTGGCTGGTCCAGTCCTGGTTCCCTATGCCCTGCACCTCAAGCCTGAGCTGCTTGATATTCCAATCCCAGAACTCTACATAATCCCTGTCAGTGCAATCCTGACCAGAAACGAATGACCTCTTCTCTAGTCGATGGCCTGGACCCAGCGGTCATTTGGACCCAAGTCTCAAAAGATAACAGTCTAATGCACTAATCTTCTGGGCCACCAAGTCCCCTGGTAGCAGAGGCTTGGATTCTGTGGGCTGCATATGGGTCCGGAGTCTGCTGTCATTGAGAATGATGTAAATCAGGAGTGATGCCACTAAAGTCAGTGGAGCAATAAAGGCGGAAAATTGATAGAAGGGAGATCTGAACCTGGCCCTTGATAACACTGCCCTGAATGCCCAAGTGGGCCACTGATTGAATTTCCCCAAGCCAAGTGCTCGTGGTGGTTGTTTTTTTCCAACCAGTATGAAATTATTACCAGCTTGGTGAATAACAGTGCCCCTCCCGCCCCCTCACATTTTAGTTTCAGTCAACGTCTGGGTGACAACCTGATCTGTTCTCCTTAGAGTCCTCGGGGACTCCGAAGAGAGAGAAGGCCCTGGAAGGGCAAAAGAATAAAAAAGAAAAAAGTCTCGACTTTCCCAGCTGGCAGCCTGAAGGGGCGAATTCCCATCCAGTGAAATGCTGCAAAAGCCCCGCTGAGAAGCACAAGGAAAAGCACAAAGAAAGGTATGAGCTGACCCCTGAGGTTCTTAGACTGTCAGGTTTTGGTAAGCAGTAGCCATGCCCTGGTGGTAGGAAACAACGATAATAATAAATCAGTCACTTAGCCAAGGCACAGGAGTAATCACTGGTCAGGCTGTTGAGGCAGATAGAGGCAAAGGGTCGGATCCTCAAAGGTATTTAGGCACCTAACTCCCATTGATCCTCTTTGGGCCTCAGTCCCCACTTGTAAAACAGAGGAACCCGCACTGACCTGCCTCCCAGGGAAGGTGTGAAGGAAAATACATTAAGGACTGTGAGATGCTCCAGTACAACTGTGATGGGGGCCATATAAATGGCCAAGATAGATAATAGTCATGTGTCAGACTACATCTTCCATGATGCACCAATCTCCTCTTTTGGAGAGGGCAGGTGGTGCATCATGGGAGTCCACTCAGCAGCCTAAGGCCCAGATCCTCAAGGGTATTGCGACACTTAACTCCCATTGATTTCAGGGGAGTTCCTGGCTGTGGTGCATTATGGGACATACAGTCTGGCCAGGGAGCCCAGCCCATGTCAATAGGAGTTATGTGCCTCAATACCTTTGGGGAATTAGGGCATAAGTGACTGGCCCCAAGGTCACACAGGAAGTTTATGATAGTGTAAGGCATTGAACCCAGGTCTCCCAAGTCATGGGCAAGTACGCTAACCACTGGACCATCGTGCCTCTCTGCTCACCATGTGGCATCTACAAATCCATCCCTTTTTTCCAGCTAGGTGTAGCCTTCCTGCAAGTCATCCCTTTGGACCCACTGAAGTCAGCGACAGAACTGAATGGAATTAGGATTTGGCCTCTAGCTTCTTAATGGCTCATCCCTTTATCCTTTAGGAGTTAGTAATTTGCTGCATTTTTTCCCCTTCTTTTAAAGGGACTTTCCCAATCATAAGGCAGTGGGCCCTCTTCCTGGCTTGAAGAAACATTCATCGGATCAGAAACAGGACAGGTAAACCCCCCAGCATCCTCCTTATTGCTTGGATCCGGGTGAGGGGAAGACATGGTGGCGTGCAATTTTTTTCAGCCTGATGGGTGTGGACACCTATGGCATACCCGCCGTTGTATATTTCAGCTAGAGCCGCCCAATTCCAATTCAGGCCACTGCAGCCGTTTCTACCCCCGAACGTAGCCGTGGTGTAAAAATCCTCGTGAAAACGTGCGCCTTCCCCCAGCAAATCATGGTGGCACAAGCGGGAGAAGTGGGTGTTTAAAAAAAATAACATAAAAAAAGGAAATAAACCCAGGTTAAAATGAGAGTGAGGAGAAAGGGAGAGCGGTCTCCAAATTACTGAAGGTTTCTGTTGAGGGAGGGGATCATGTGCATGAAATCAGAGCTGGGAGCTAGATTTGGAGTTCATTGATTTGGCTGAACCAAAACCACCCACCTGAACAGCCCAGGACTTGGATGCGTTTGAAATCGAGGACCTTGACTCAGCTTTTCAAACGAGAGTAGATCAGGGCGCACCAGGGAGCATTTAGTGCATGGCGGCCAGCTAGTGTTGTAGATTCACACCCCAGCCTGCCACACAGTGAGTTTCTGTGTAGACATAGCCCTTAGTTGAAAGATAGGGAAGGTTTCAGGGGAAGGAAATTGGAGAAGACAGCGAAATGAAGGGGGTAGCTCGCTTTCTTTTTCATTTCTTGTCTAGTGCTTGGGGACAGTTTCTAAGACAAAAATAAGGGGGAGGGGGCGGAAATCTGATGTACTAAAAATAGAACTGTGCTGAAGAGCAGAAACCCCTCTCCCTGAACCCCCTCTCTCCCCAGGAAATCCAGCAAGTCCGGCTCTCACACGGCAACCCCAAAGAGTCATTCTGCAGACTCCAAGCCAGACAGGTACTTGCTTATGTGCCTGCAGGTCCTTTATTTGTGGAGCAGCAGTTACAGGGCAGGGGCAATGCGAATAAAGTCACACAGGGCTTGCGGTGGACGGAAAAGGCTCCTCTTGACTTCCAAGGTCTTAGATCAAACCGACAGTGAGTCAGTGACAGAGCTGGGAATAGAACCCCAGAGTCCTCCAGCATCAGAGCTGATAACAGTCTGCAGACACCAAGCCTTTATACCTGTGTGAACGCATAACAGAACCTGGCTCTTTTATCTAGCACCTTTCCTCAGTAGAGCTCCAAGTGCTTTTGCAAAGGAGGTCAGTATCACCATCACCATTTTAAAGATGGGGAAACTGAGGCACCGAGCACTCTGACTTGCCTGAGATTACCCAGCTGGCCAGTGGCAGAGCCAGGAGTAGAATCCAGGTCCTCTGAGTCCCAGTTCAGTGCTCTGGCCACTAGGCAGCAGTGCCTAGAAGGCAGGCTGCATCACCATACTGTTCTCAGTGCTGTTACTGAGACCCATTCATCAAGTGTGAGTGATACAATTCAGCAGTTACCCGAGGGTTTATAATCGGTGTTTGGCCCGTAGCAGGGCTGTTGAGACTGCTCCAAGCTGTGCCTTCTGTAAAGCACTGTGGGGACAGATAATCGCGTGGCCCACGTTATGTCCAGTGGCAATATCTCAGACGTGGTCTGGCCACTCGCCTCCCGAACCGCCGTGAGTTTAGGGCAGGATTACAACAGGCGAAAGGCCTCAGCAGCAGCAACTGGCGCTGTCAGGTATTTCTAGACCCACAAAGATTTGGAGCCAGATTCTTGACGGACGCAAAACTCTGAAGGGCTTCCAGAACGGGGCCCAGGGTTTGGCCGGTTATAGAAACACAAGCTAGTTGGGAAGCTCGGAGCTGGATCCCGTTTCAGAATTCTGCCGAAGCCAGGGTCGGATCTGGGATTTGGGCTTGGTTCTGTACAGAGAGAGCAGCCAGCTGCTACGATCAGATCCCTGCTCCGGGGGCGGCTCCTCATTTTGTGCAACTGACCGTGGTGCTTTTGTTGCTTGAAGGGTCTTCTAAGCTTAGGAGGGAAGAGGGCCAGAATTTGGCTCATTAATTACGCAGGAAAAGGTGGATTTTTCCATTCCCTGCAGTCCCAAGGTCGAGACTGGATGTCTTTCTAAAAGATCTGCTGTAGCTTGTGCGGAAATGACAGGGTGAGGTTCTCTGGCCTATGTAACGCAGGAGGTCTGACGAGGTCCCTTCTGGCCTTCATATCTGTGAATTTGGATGTTTTGAGTTATTCTTATGCTTTACAAGTCTCAATACAATAATTATATCTTCAGAAACACAGGAGTTCAGTCTGCCAGGCCCCCGCTCAAACCATTACACCGTACTCCCCCTCAGAGCTGGGAACAGAACCCAGGAGTCCTGACTTACAGGCCTTTTGCTCTAACTGCTAGGTGACACTAATGACTGGGGGTCTGGCATAAGGGTTCCCTTTATGCTTGAATTCTCCAGTTGCAAGAGGGGTGAATAGGTGGTGTGATGACCTGGTGTGTTTGCAGAAGGCTGACTGGTTCGGGGGAGGAGGGTGGATGACCGGTGACCTGTTCCACTGGGGAAGACATGCCACTGCAGTTGGCACATGCCCCTGGGCAGCTGGTCATGCCAACACAGCTGTCAGCAGAGAGGGCTTGGGGGCTTTGTGCCAGGATCTCAGCGGAGCTAATCTCTGTCCTCTCTGTGTTTTTTCCCTACGAAGGGAGACCAGCAACTGCAGAGCCCTTCCCGCCACCTTGAAAAAGTCGCACTTGGACGGCAAGAAAGAGAGGTAGGTGTTTTGTGGCTGGATTGTGGCACATTTTGCTTCTCTGTCTTTGGAAGAGTGGCATGCCCAGCTCAAAACAAGGCATCTTCCATCTGCCACCACCTCCTCCACATGGCAGTGACCCGCCTTCTCTTAATGCCCTCTTGCAATCCCTGGACAGGATGCCCCGTTCACCAGTAAATGCCCTCTTTAAGGATTACCAGGCCCTGTGTGCCCCCTGGGGGTTCTGTGGGTGTTTCCCTCCTGAACCCCTGTTCTCTGCGCTTTAGGACATGGCCCTTCCTCCCCCGCTTCTCTTTCAGGAGAGACTCTACAGACTCAAGATCTTCCACCATCACCGCTTCCTCCTCCTCTTCCTCCCCTCAGAAGAGACCATCGGTGGAAAGGTAAGGGGGAGGCTCATTCCTCCAGCCAGCCCTCTAACGGCTGGGATCTCACCCTGTTCCCTCCTAGAACCCTAGAATCAGACAAAGGCAGGGCTGGAAGGGACCTCGAGAGGTCATCAAATCCAGCCCCCTGCGCAGAAGCAGGGCCAAGTAAACCTAGACCAGCCCTGACAGGGGTTTGTCTAACCTGTTCTTGAATAATTCCAATGATGGGGATTCCACATCCTGGCCGGGAAGCCGGTTACAGAGCTTAACTCCCCTTGCCGTTAGAAAGTTCTTCCTAGTGTCCAAACTAAATCTCCCTTGCTGCAGATTACGCCCTTTACGTCTTATCCTACCTCCAGAACTTCTTGTCCTCCCGGGGGGTCTATTGCAGGAGAAGGAAGGTGGGATTCTGAGGTCCAATGCAGGGGATGCCTGTCCCCAGTGCGTGATGGAGCTCTGTGCGCCAGCTGGTCACTCTGCCCTAGCCGGGACAGGTCGTGGCTCCAGAACTGGAGTGGGTAGAGTGAGTTAGAGGACATCTGGATGGAGGTTCCTTGTTCGAAGGTTCTTGGATACCATGTCGCTGGGCACCAGGCAGAAGCCTAGAAAGAAGTGGAGGAGGCAGGGAAGCCGTGATGAAAGTCATGACGTGCTGATTCCCCCAGGGGGCTCTGTCTGTCATGGCAGAGCGAGGCTCTCAGCCAGCAGGAGGCAGTAAACATCACACTGGCTTTGCAGAGTTGGGGCGTCCATGACCTGTATCCCTCTCTTTCAGCATTGTCTGAAATGGCCCTGGGCATTATCCCCAGGGGTATGTCTATACTGTGTCAATGTAAACACCTGCAGCTCACCCATGTCAGCTGGCTGGGGCTGTGGGGCTGTTAGATTGCGATGCAGACATTTGGGCTCTGGCTGGAGCCCGGGTGTTGGGGGAGTATCCCAGAGCCTGGGCTCCAAGCCAAGCCCAGATGTCTACACTGCAATTTTATAGCCCTGCAGCCGAGCCTTGTAAGTCCAAGTCAGCTGACACGGGCCAGCTGCGGGTGTTTATTTACAATGCAGACATGCCCCAAGAGACCAAACGCCCTTCACCGAGGGCTTGGAAGGCATCGCGTGCTGGCCGTAGAGGGCTGTCACCTCAGATCCCACAATGCACTTGGGCGTTTGCACACCGAGGGCTTGAGCCAACGCCAATGCAAGTCAATGGAAAGACACCCGCTGCGTTCGGAGGAGGTTGGAGCAGGCCGTTAGCTCTGAGCGTTTGATATCCCACCAGCCGATCTCATCCCTGACCATCTCTGTCCTTGGTGCTTAGACCATGCCCATCACCGTGGTGTCCAAGCACGTTACAGATCTATTGCTGGGATCCCCAGAAGAACCTCAGCCCTTGCTCCTCCGCTCTCTCTGCTGGCATCACATGCACTGTTGCCTCTCCCTGTTTTGATTCCAGGAGGCCCTCTACAGGCTCCAACCCAGCAGCCTCTCCCCCTGGCTCTCGGAAGAACTCCAGTGATGGCAAAGAGGAAAGGTAGGGGAGGGTGGGAAAGCCTCGTGGAGATGACGCTGGAGGCCAGCCACTATCAGAGGTCCAATGCTTAGAGCAGTAGCTTGGGATTCAGGATAGCTAGGTTCAAGTCCTTGTCTGCCACAGATTGCCCATGTGACCTTGGGCAAGTCACTTAGGCCTAGATCCGAGAAAGGTGTAGGGAGGACAGATACATTCCAGACGGTGAGGTGCTCAGCTTGTAAGGGAGTGGGGGTAAATACCCACGATGAATGGATCTTTCCAAGGTCCATGAGCAGAAGAGCGGGAGAACAGTCAGGAGACATCCCCAGGCCAGTGTGGGCTGGATGGAGTTTGCAGGGGGGTTAGTGCTGTGGAGACAGCCCCATCACAGCATGGAATGGAGGGGCCGTGGGGCTTGGAGGTCTGAAGATGCTCCCTCTGCCCGCATGGAGGGGAGCAGTACCTGGGGGCTACAGGTAGCCAGTATGGGGTAGAGAGGCTCCTGGGAAGTGAGGTAAGTGTCACACAGGGGGATCCCTTGCAGGTGAAGATGCTTTGGGTTGTGCCGGGAGCCTCTCCTCTGGTTAGGGCTAGCAAGAAAGGTGCCTTGTCTTGTGGCTTCCTGGTGTGACAGCCTGTCTGTTCTCTCCAGACCCAACAGTGCCAAATCCAAACCCGAGACCCCCAAGACTCCCAGCAGCCCCTCGAGCCCCACGTTCGCACCGACCATCTGCTTCCTGGCGTCCTGCTACCTCACGGGAGACTCGGTCCGGGACAAGTGCGTCGAGATGATCTCGGCTGCCCTGAAAATGGATGGTGAGAGGGGGCTGGGGTTGGGAAGGGGCCGTCACCTGGGGCAGCTCACAGGGCGGACTGATTTTGAGGCATCCCTTTCGCTGGGTGGAGGCAGAGCAGGAACAAGGGCTGGGATTGTGACCCGAATAGGAGCCAGTCACTGCTGGGCGCTTTGGCGGTTTTGATGATTGGTTTAGTTGCTCATTGCAAAAAACCCACACGGCCAAATTTCTCCTGGGTGTAACTCAATCGGCTTCCACCAGGTCATGCCTTTCGATGTGCCGTGGGTTTGAAGGGACACCCCTCACTGCTGGTAGGACCGAAATTTAACCTACTGGCTCCTTTCTTACATCTCTGTGCAAACTGCAAACGCTGTGTTGTTTGCTGTGTGTGTTTAAAACAAGCCAACTGTTTCACAGCCAGCGGGTCAGCACTTCTCAGAGCAACCCTGCAATAACAAACCAGTGAGCGTGGCCTGGAGTGCATAAGCAACCCTCCAATAATGAACCTGCACGGTACTTGTGAATAAGCCTACGATAATCATTTATCGTTTGCTGCTCACAAGCGACCCTGCACTAACAAACAGGTGGGTACGGCCCAGTGGCGCGCAGGCATCCCTGCAGTAATCAACAGAGGGGATACAAATCAATCTGAAGGAATTCGGTTTCGGTGTCAAACTTGTTATGCCGATAATTAATGGTTTCTTTGAATGCTGCTTTGATGAAGCCTGTTGTACCTTTCGGCACGTTCTCTGGGTTCTGAAGTGTGTTCACCCTCCTCTCTCTCGCTCTCCCCCGCTTTAGATGATTACAAACAGTTTGGAGTCAACTGTGACAAGATGGCCTCTGAAATCGAAGATCATATCCTTTGGCTGGCTGGGCGGTGGTTCGGTTTGCCTGCCTTGCTACTGGGGACCGAGCCTGAATCCAAGGGTAGCCCTGCCCCTCTTGGCCTGTTGGTGGGGCTGGAACTTAGAATCTCCCCAACTGCATTTAGCTAGATGTAAATTTAACAACAGCCGATGCCTGTCCCGGGGTCTGGAGGTCCGAATGCACCGCTAACAAAACGATAAACCCCAGCATCATTTCGACAGAGACGCAGCCGGCCAGACACCTCCGCAGGCTCCTTCCCTCCCCTTCTTCGCTTACCCTCAGCCCTCTCCAGCAGGAGAATCTTGCTGTGTGCCCAAAGGCAGGCTGTTTCAGAGCAAGATCCAGAGTCTTGGAGCCCCCGCAGAGAACGCCCTGCCACCCTGCCAGCTGGCCCCTCTCTTTTATAACGAGGGGAGCCAGCTCGGGTGCCCCCGCTGATGGTGACTGTGTGGCACTCTAAGCAGGCACCCGGTAGGTCTCCACTGCATCTGGGAGGTGGCTACAGCACCTGTAGACTCACCCAAGCTAGCTTCGCTCGAGTAACAGCAGGAGGGAAGCCGTGGCAGCATGGATGTGGCAGGAGCTACCCCTGCCCACCCAGTCCCCTGGGTACATACCCAGGCCACTACCCAGGCTGCTGGGGCTTCGCTCCTGTTGTTACTCAGCTAGCTTTGATCAAGGCTGGCTCGGGCCTGTCTACACATGCTGCACTCACGCCTCTGATTGCAGCGTAGCCAGACCCATAAACCTACAGGGGGGCATGTCACACACAAGTGGGTTACTCCTGTGCCCCCAGAACTCTCACTGTAGTCAGTGGGAGTCGTCCTGTGCTTCAGGGGCCCCCACAAAGGTACATTGCTCAGGTTTCGGCTTCAGCCCCATGTGGCAGGGCTCAGGGCCCCGGACTTCAGCCCCATGTGGCAGGGCTCAGGGCCCCGGACTTCAGCCCCATGCAGTGAGACTTTGGCTTTCTGCCCTGGGCCCCAGCTAGTCTAACACTGGCCATGCTTGGCGGACTCCCGGAAACCTGCTTGCGGCCCTCCAGGGGGCCCCGGACCCCTGGTTGAGAACCACTGCATTAATGCACCGGCGGGCTGGAGCTCAGATGAGGTATGTTCTGCACATCGCCACCTCGTGGCTGAACGGTGCAATGCAGTGTAGCGTTCCATTTCAGCTTCAGCAAGGTGAAGGGGAGGTTAAGTGGCCTGCCCTGTCCTGCACCTGTACCTTACAGGGAAGCTACCGTGTAATAGACAAGAGATTAGTGAGAAGAGGGAGGACTGGATCCTGCTGGCAAAACATTCATGATTTCAACAGGAGCAGGGCCAGCCCCAAAATCACTGGTCTCCAATACAAACTCAAGTCTCAGGCCAGGTTTAATGAAGGCAACTCTGGGTCTGTTTCCTAGAGAGCCTGGGGTCCAGCCAGGGCTTGGCATCAAAGCCACAGGAAGCTGAAGAGCTTTGCCTGAGTTCTAGGGTTTGTTTGAATCCAAACGTTGAAAGCAAAACCTAGGGAGGTAGAAACTTTGGAAGATGTTCCCACGAAACCCCAGAGTGTGGCCTGGTTCTCTGGGTGTCCCAAAGCCCAGATGGGCCCCTCTAAGGGTATCCACTGATACCTGTACATTCATAACCCACCGCTGCGGTGTCCTGTCATCCTTGGGCTCTTATTCCTTGACGGTGCCACATATCTTCCAGGAGCTGAAGAGCACCGACATGAAGTACCGCAACCGCGTGAGAAGCAGGATCAGTAACCTGAAGGACCCCAAGAACCCCAACCTGCGGAGGAATGTGCTGAATGGAGCCATCTCCCCCAGCCTCATTGCTAGGATGACTGCAGAGGTGAGTAACGGGGTGGGAGGTGTGAAGGGAGGGGGATGCCCGGTGACTGACTCGGAGAAGAATTGGGTCCATGAGAGATCATTTCCATCTGCGCGATTGCTGGTGGGAATCGGGCAGAGCTTAGCAGTAGGGCAGGAAGCTGCTGACATGGGAGGCTGCAGGCCCAGGGGCACTGGAGGTGCTGTAGGCTTGTCATAAGAGCAGGGAGGCCAAGGCAGCACGTCACACGCAGCATCGCTGAGTCTGGCGGAGGCAGCCTGCCAGAAGCGGTGAGTGAGTTTCCCACGTTGCTCCGCGGCATCCCCCATGTAGATCGAGGACAGTTGCAGGGTGGGGATGAGGTGGCCAAAGAATATGTGCAGCACCTCCTCTGGAGCTCGGGCTGGAAATTCCACATCCGGTGGAAACAAGGCCCATTGTCATAGCCTAGTCCCCATTGTACATGCTGCAAAATCCAAGTGTAGTTTGCTTTCTCTGCCCAGGAGTGTCACAAGGCCGGAATAGCGGGGGTTGGGGGCTGCAAGGTAGGGTTCAGGGGCATTGGCAGAGCTGTGGGGCAAGCCCAGGGCTGGAATAGCAGGGGGGCTTCAGGTCAGAGTTGTGGGGCATCAGCAGAGCTCAGGGCTGGAATAGCAAGGACGCCGGAGGACAGGAATGAGGAGCATCAGCCAAGCCGTGCGTGAGGAGCCCAAGGCTGGAATAGCAGCACGTGGCTGCACCTTGGGTTGGAGGTACGTGGGCAGAGCTGTGGGGAAGCTTGCAGGACTGGGACAGCAGCAGGGGTGCATTGGGAAGGGGACGTGGGGACCCAGGACTGGGATAGCAGGGAACGTCACGTGTCAGGAGTGAGAGGTCTCGGCCCAGCCAACTCTCTTGGTCTCACACTTGCACAGGCCCTCAGTGAGGTCGTGCTGCTGGTGGATTGTAAGAAGATTCCCATCTGATTTCAGATGCAGAGATGGCAGGTGGACCTGTTTGCGTGTGCTTGTCTGTGTGTGCGTGCACTGGAGAGAAGCTCCTCCAGGGACTCTGGGAACCTGGGAGTAAGAAAATGATGCGAGTAGAAATACCTGTTGGGCTCTGTAGCTCTGACCTGGGTACTGTGACCCATTGCAGGAAATGGCGAGTGATGAACTGAAGGAGCTGAGGAACGCCATGACTCTAGAAGCCATCCGGGAGCATCAGATGGCGAAGACCGGGGGCACCACCACGGACCTTTTCCAGTGCGGCAAGTGCAAGAAGAAGAATTGCACTTACAACCAGGTGGGCACCTTGGGCAGGGGGCCTCCAGCCCAGAGCAATGGCTTTGGTGACAGTCCAACCTGCAGGGAACGTTCCACCCACTCCAGGGTCAGTGCGGAGAACTTGGCTAGCCCACTCCGACTTGCAGCAGGTTCAGCAAATGCCAAGGGCCATCAAACCACAGCCATAGCTAAGGGCTCTTAGCCACCTGGAAATATAGTGGGGTCCTGCTTACCTGAATCCCCATTGCCAGACCTCCCTCTCTAATGGTCTCCAAGCTGGTCTCCTTCCCCATCGACTTTCTTGCCTTCGAGTCTTGCTTGTCTGATAGTCCAGAGAAATTTGGGACCTTCCAACCAGGATTCTACTTTACTGTGACGAGTTATGTCCCTGCAACCTTAGGAGGATTAGCCCAGAGATCCGCGGAAGACCAGAGGCTTCCAGTCAGGCCCATTGCCCCTCATGCCACTCAACCCCTGGACTGCATCTGTTTCCTTGTGGGGGAGGTGGCTCCTGGAGGTTCAGCCGTACCACCCCAAAGCGCAAGACCTTATCCAGGCCTCTTGCGCCTGCAAGGCTGGGCTGGAATTTAGGGGAGGATCGTACTTTCCTGTGGGATATCCACTACTTCCTGCTTCTGCCTGGGGCTGAGACGCAGGGAGGAGCAGAGGCAGCCTGGGCAGCACGATCCGAAATAACAGGGAAGGAGGAGAAGATAAAAGGAACTTTTCAGATATGGGAACTGGTTTGTGGTTTGGTGGGGGACTGAGTTTTGGGGAAGGTTCGGGGCGGTTCTCATTCCATCTGCAAGGATTCCCTTCCTCCTCCATCCCCAATGTCCACTCCCTCAGAGCCTGGAAGTTAGAAGGAATCAAAGCAGACACTTCCATGCTCCCTGTTGAGTCTGCATGACTGGTTTTCTCCATAGGTCCAGACGCGTAGCGCCGATGAACCCATGACAACGTTCGTGCTGTGTAACGAGTGCGGGAACCGCTGGAAGGTCTGTACTCATTGCTCTCCTTCGAGGGGGAGACAGAGCAATTGCTCTGGAGTGTAGTGTCCATTTCACCCACACCCAGCATGGCGTTCTAGAATGCAGCGTCCACATCTCAGCCCCATGCATTAGGTGTTCTAGAACACAGCGCTCTGGTGCCACGCTCTAGAGTGTTATATCCACGTCTCCTTCCCCTGCATCATGTGCTCTAGAACAGTGGTTCTCAAACAGGGGTCCGGGGCCCACTGTGGGGGCCGCGAACAGGTTTCAGGGGGGGCCGCCAAACCAGGCCACTGTTAGACTCGCTGGGGCCCAGGACAGAAAGCCGAAGCCCCGCCATGCGAGGCTGAAGCTCGGGGCCCTGAGCCCTGCCTCCTGGGGCTGAAGTCGAAGCCTGAGCAACTTAGCTTTGCGGGGGGCCCCTGTGGTGTGGGGCCCTGGGCAATAGCCTTGCCTACTGCTCCCTACCGCCGTCCCTGGCTTTTATATGCAGAAAAAAGTTGTTGTGGCCCAGGTGGGCAGTGGAGCTTTTATAACATGGCTGGCGGGGGGGGCTGTTAAAAGTCCTGTCGGCAGTGCTGCCCAGCTAAGGTGGGATAGTCCTGTTCCGACACCGCGCTGCACCCCGGAAGCGGCCAGCACCAGGTCCAGCTCCTAGGCAGGGGAGCCACGGGGCTCTGCCAGCTGGGTGGTGCCTGCAGGCGAGAGCTGCGTGGAGCCACTTGCGGGCCTCTGCCTAGGAGACGGACCTGCCGCTGGCTGCTTCTGGGGCGCAGCGCAGTCCATGGTGCCAGGCCAGGCAGGAAGCCTGCCTTAGCACCCCCGCTGTGCCGCTGACTGGGAGCCACCCGAGGTAAACTCGTGCCTCAACCTTGCGCCCCAATCCCCTGCCCCAGTCCTGAGTCCCCCCCAAACTCGGAGCCCCTTCCTGCACCCCAAACCCCTCATCCCTGGCCCCAGCCCAGAGCCTGCACCCCCAGCCCAGAGCCCTGATCTCCTCCTGCACCCTAACCCCCTGCCCCAGCCCAGAGCCCCCTCATTCCCGGCCCCACCCCGTAGCCCTCACCCCCACACCCCAATCCTCTACCCCAACTCTGAGCCCCTCCCACACCCTAAACCCCTCATCCCCAGCTCCTTTGGCATCAACAATTTTCCTAAACTGGGTCGCCAGAAAAAAAGTTTGAAAACCACTGGTCTAGAACTCAGTGCCCGTTTTTCATCCCCCTCCAACCTAAAATACACCAGCAAGTGTCCTTCTGGATTCCTGAATCTCTCTCTCTCTCTCTCTCTCTCTGCACCCTCCAGCAACGGGAGCCCACTCCTGAACCGACCCTGGTCTCTTTAGTGGCGTTTTTGCTAGAAGCTTAATTAGCCCCAGCAGGAGAGGAGTCACTCACTTGTTCCCTCCTGTGTTGTCTTCCAGTTCTGCTGAGGCCGCTCCTGTTTGCACCCGGGCCACCCGCGGAGACGATGCAGCCGGACGGCAAAGGAGAATCTCTGACCATCCAAATTTGAAACTGGGGGTGGGGGTGGGGGGAGGGGAAGGGAAGAGAACTAACCTGTTGAGAGAGGAGCTGAAAGTCCCTCCCTTTTGGCTCCCGAGAATGTAATGAGGATTCACTCACTGGCTAGAGGGAGGGATTGTTTGGCGTTAGGGGTACCCGAGCCTCAAGCCCAGAAGGTGCGATGCCAGGGTGTCAGCCCCTAGGAGACTCCTCTTTTTTTGATGTCTATATTTTGACTGGAGTGATCATTGGAACCCTAGCCTGGAAGGACCTGCTGGGTCATTCTAGTCCATCACCCTGGAGGAAGCAGTGGGTGCGTGGAGCATGACAGAGCCCAGGGGAAATCTGCCCTGCCAGAGGTTTTGGGGTGCTGTTTGTCGAGCTCACAGGAAGTAGCCTAGCAGCAGCCGAGGTGCCCAGCCCCCTCGCCCGTGCTCGTCCCTTTCATTGGCCAGGTTAAGCTGACCCCTGTTTGTTTTTATGAGCTGGGTGATCCCTGAATCTTGGCGGCCTGTCTCTGGCGAATCTCCCTGTTATGCATGGGAGCGGGGCTTTCCAAATCCCAGGCAGCATTTGCTTTCGGAGGCAGAGGCTTCCTACTGTCCCCTGCCCAGGGCAATCCACAGGCCGGTGTGTCTCAAATTGTCATTCCTGGAGTGAAGACTCCCGTCTACCCCCCTCTGCCTGAACCGATCTGGAAGGCAGCTCTCCGGGGCTGTGTCGGCATCAGTCCTCGCACAAGCCACCAGGGGGCACCGAAAGCCCCTTCCACTCTGCCCTTGACACCACCCTGGGGATGCTCCCGCTCCGGGGACGGAGCAGGTGGAGTCCTGCTGGCTGACACCCAGGTCCCTGGGCTGCGATGAAGTATTGCCAGGGGTGTGCTTGGCTTCTGGCATGCGTTTTGCACGGACGTATGTGTAACCGGCTGCTGGGAGGGCTGGTCTTCTAACGGATGGCGTTTCGGCTCTGGGATGGGGGAAGTACCATGAGAAGAGACCAGTTCTCCCCTTATTTCAGCCCCACTATAAAGGGCTGTTGGGGGCAACAGGCGACACACAGGCAGGCAACTGCCACGCTGTTTGGGCTCCCCCAGACCCATAGGCACAGCCTTATAGGCTGCTCTCTGGCTCCCCTGGGCAGTTCTCCATATAGAATCATAGAATATAAGGGTTGGAAGGGACCCCAGAAGGTCATCTAGTCCAACCCCCCTGCTCGAAGCAGGACCAAATCCCAGTTAAATCATCCCAGCCAGGGCTTTGTCAAGCCTGACCTTAAAAACCTCTAAGGAAGAAGATTCTACCACCTCCCTAGGATATAGGATAGATAGGATCTACTAGGTATGTATACCCTGTAGAGTTAGCACTCAGCTCCCCTTGTCTTCACCGGGCTCTCGGGCTGCTTTGTGGTGTGTGGATGAGAGGGATTGTAATGGGGTTGAAGGTGGCTGGGAATTAGGGTGCAGTAGAGGAACCAGTAGAACAGCGGGAGCCTTCTCACCCAAATCAGGGCAGACATTCTCTTTACATGTGGGTATTTTCCCTGAGTGTGGTCACAACACACTCTGCTCTGACGCCCAAACTCCCCCTGCAAAAACAGCTAACAGAGGGAGATGGACTGCCTTTAATTCCTCCTCTGCTGGCATTTCGGTGGTGCAGTCCTGGAGTATTAATCCTCCAGCCAGCCAGTGAGGGATTTCCTGCCCTTCAGTGGGAAGTCCATTGAATGACAGCGAGCTCCTGTTTTAAAACCAGTGACCCTCCTTTCCTTCCCGAGAAGATGAGAGCTGAAGATGCACAGGGCTTTAGCTGCACCTGTTCGTGGGTCTCTCCTTCCCATTGGTGACTTGTTTTCTGCAAACTGGATATTACACAAAGACTTGATCCTAATTCCCTGCTACACTTGATCCTGGAACCTGATTTTAAACCCCACACCCCGAAGTGCAGTTACTCTTCGTTGTAAATAATTGTGCCCTTTCTTGGCGGCTGCCTCTGTGTATCCTGATTCCAGGTGGGATTGGCCAAGGAAAATTCCAGGCGAGGGAGGCTGTTCTTAACAGTACGCCTGACCCAAGAGGAGCAGGAGTCACATGGGGGGAAGCTGTTATTCAGCGCCATCTCCTACCTTCAGCACCAAACTTTTGGGGGGGTTAACCACTCTGAACTGGGGAGACTTTTGAGCTTCACCGAGCGAGACTGGAAATCACTGGGCCCCATGCTGACAGGCTGAAGGAGGTAGAGGAGTGGCAGGATAGAGAAGAGAAAGCACGGGGGTGGGATGGGATAGAGGGTCAGAGCTCCTGCCACCTCAATCCTGCTCTTATGACCCACTTCAGGCTCAGCACAGACAGGGCTGGGTGCCTGCCTGCTTTCATCCCTTTATCTCCAGCAGTCAGGGGGCCGTGGCGCTACTCCCCTGCCATACACAGCGTATGGATCAGCCAGCTTTGTTTTCTCTCTAAGATAGAATGTGTCCCTGCTCCCCCCAAAAAAGTGGGGGTGAAAGGGAGAGCAAATCTCCAGCTAGAGCAATAAAGGTGTAAAGAGTGTTGGCTGGGTATTCGTGCTTTCGAACCCCAGCATGCTGGGGACTTAGCCATTCTTACTGTAATGTTATACCTCTAGTGCCTTTCTGCCCAAATCCCGTCACCAACGCGATATGGACAGTGCTGCTGACATGCAGCCAGCTCTGGGGTGGAGGGTAGCAGCCAAGTGGCACACAGAATTGGGAGTAGGGGTCATTTAGGCCAAGGTCTCCAGAGCAAAGTCTACTCCACCGCAAAGTGCCCTGGGATCTTTAACGTTCACACAGAACAAACAGGCCCTAGGTTTGCGTTTGCATAAGTGACTGGGGGTGCCTCGCTTTATGGTGTCTGCTAATGGGCACCTGGTTTTGAGAGGTGGGGGCTGAGTGCTTTCTGAAGGGTTCTCACGCTGAGCACCCCAAAATGGAGGCATCTGAAACCACAAGCCATTTGTGCCTTCATCTCTGTTAAGGAGGCTGCAATGCCTAGTAGATAGAGCATTGGACTGGGGCTAATGGGTCCTGCACGCTATTCCTGGCTCTGCCATTGGCCTGCTGTGTGACCCTGGGAAGGCATGTCCCTGCTCTGTGCCTCGATTTCCTTGCTGGCAAAATAGGGCTCACGCTACTGACCTATATTTGTAAATCTGCTGGGAGGAGCTGGGTATTACTCATGTTGAGGTCTCCTCTGGCAGTGACTGTATCCACTGGAATTATGCTGATATATGCGTGAAAGGGGAATGGTGGAACAAAGGTGCCAGTGAGTGGAGGCAGCATCGTCCCATGGCTCGGGCACCAGAGAAGGAGTTGGGAAACCTGGGTTCTAGTCCTGGCTCTGCTGTGCAACCTTGAGCAAGTCACTTCCCTGCTCTGTGCCTAAGTTCCACCCCTCCCCCCCCTTCCAAAGCAAGGATGATGGTTCTGCTCTTCCCTTGTTAAGCATGTGGAGATCTATGGATGAAAGTGTTACATCATTATTAATGGCACCTGGGGTGGGGGATTTTGTGATGGGAATGCCTCTTGTGAGGGAAAAAAAGACAGATTCACCGATTCATTTCATACACAAGCTCCCAAGCGGGTGCGCGTGCACCCCCCTCCCCCCCGTTCCCTGGGCATTTAGAAGTTGCAGCCTCTTCGAATGAGCTAGATAAGACTGGCCACAAATCATAAAACATGAGTGATATCTTGTAGCGCCAATGAGAGGAGCTGTTAAAATAGCCAATTTTCAGGCAGGATTTTTTGGGGCACCTAACACAAGCTGCCTCTGAGACGCTTTTCTGGGTATATGTAATTCCCATTAGATATATGGGGGCTCACGGCCTCTGAAAATCATGCCCACGGTGGCTAAAGGTGGACAACCAAAACAAGTAGCCACCTTTGAACATATGGTCTAAAGACTCTAGCGAGTGGCTAGTAAAGTCATTTTTTTAAATTAATCCCCTGTGGATTTTTTTATTTTTATTTTTTTTGCATTCACGGGACAGAATTAATTTTTGCAGCCCCAACTGATAAATAAAATAACGTTAGTGTCTTCTCTAGTGACCATCTAGAGCTAGGCCTGGGAGCTGCTTGGCCAGATTTTAAATGTGCTGCCCGCTGGGACCTGCTCCAGTACTAAGGGAGTAACGGAGCCCTGTTGACTTAGCTCAGAGAGGTGGGGAAGAAGCCCACTTAAGAGATTTATGAAACTCTTAGAAATTCTGAAACACAATTAAATGTTGGTGGGGAACTTTTCGTGCCCCTAAAACAAAAACATGGTGCTTCAAGTTCTCAAAGTTTCACAATCCTAAACGCCCCCACAGATTGAGAAGGCCCCACATTCTAGAACCTATCACAGATCAGCTATAACCTTTGTTCCACAAACCCAGACTCATGTACAAGTCATGTAGTAGAACCCCTTGATCACACACAAGCCACACTCTAGATCCCACTCCAGCTTGTGACCATCCATGTTCTAGAACCATGGTCCAGGCCACACATATCGTCCATGCTCTAGAACCACGCCAACAGAGATACCATCCTAATTCTAGGAAAAACAATGCTCTGAAAGGCTCCCAATTCTAGGACCCCAGGCTCGTCCCATCTCTACTGGCCCTAGTGAAATTCTCCCAAAGCCTAGCATGAGTTACATCTTGTTTGGTTCAGACAGACTAGAGTAAGTTCTAGATCAACATTGCTACCAAAACATCAGTGGCTTCACCCACGGGGAGAGAGGGAGCACTGAGGCTCTGTCTCTAGGGTTGTCCCATCTTCCCCCGGTGCCTTGAGGAGCTGGCAGGAAGCTGAAGGAGCTGGCAGTATCCTGACACGCGTGTGCGTGCCCGGGGCTTGGCTAGGTGTCACATGCCAGCACAGCCAGTCTCTGCTCCAGTGACTTGTACAGTGGTGAGTTCAGGAACCGGGGGTAGGAGTCTCGGTGCATGAGAGTGTAGATTTGCCCCTGGGCCTCGTTGCACATCTGCGCGCTGGGCCTTGCCAGGGACCTGTTGATTGACTCGCGCACACTCGCATCGATGCTGACCTGCGGAGGGAGACAGGCAACGCTCTTGAACCCAGGGACCAGGACTCCTCACGCAGCAGCTCTGCTGGGATGCCCTGGCTGTCCAGGGCCCCGCCAAGAGCCCTTTGGAGAGACCCCAGCCTTTCTCGGGCACTGGCATAGATGGTTCCAAAGTGCCGTGAGCTGCTGTGACCTGGCAGCTAACTGTGAGACTGGGACAGCTAACTCAAGGACCTACCCATTCCAAATAAAGTAGGGGTCAACTCTACAGCCAGGAGCAACTGCTGCAGGGAAGCTCAGCTGGCTGATGTCAGAGGACCACTTGCTTTGGAGACGGTCCCATTGCTGGGGCGTCAGGTGCAAGGAGACACTCTATGCTGCCCTCCCCCAATATTCAAGGCAGTGCCTGGTGTTTAGGGCCTTGTTTCCCTGGTGTTGCATTACGTTGTAAGGTGACAACAATGGGAGGGCATAAGCTGGGAGCGAGGTCCCCTGAGCTGCCTCCCAACAGGGCGGTGGCAGACCTACCTCCCTTGGGGACAGGATAGAGATGTAATCCAGGTAGATCTTCTTGGCTTTCTCGCAGACCTGCTCCTGGCTCTGCTCCCTCTTGAGCTCCTCGCAGGCCAGCCAGAAGGCCATGTTCTCGTCGCTGTGCTCCGTCCGCAGGAACTCCATGAAGACGCTCCGGCCAGCCGGGCTCGCCAGCACGCAATCAAACGAGCGCTTCCAGGAGGCCGCTTCTTCTACAGTGAGCCTAGGAGACGAGGAGAGAGTGAGCGAGAGAGATGTGACCTCTAGACAGAGTCCTGGCAATTGCATGACCTGTTCCCTTCTCAGTACCCCACCCCTCCATCCCCTGGCTGCCATCCATCCCTGACTCAACTCAGTCTGTGCAGGACCTGCCCCAACTCCCTGCCCAAGCCACCTGCTCAGTGGCACGCAGAGTGCCTATCCCAACTCCTGGGCTGATGGGGCTGACCGTGTGGTACTCCCTGGCCCTGCTGCCCTGGATCATCCCCAACTCTTTCCCGTGGCAGAGCCAGAACTAAGGAGATGCACGGGACAGTGTTCCTGGGAGATAAACCTGACCTCAACATTTGGACCCGATCTGAATGTTCCCCACATCTCATATGTTCCGACCCAGGGGATCAGCTCAGACCCAAACTTGGTGACTTTAATTTTTAAAAAGAGCCACTTATTGTTCTTCCTTGTATTCCAGCTTCTGGTCGCTATCTGAGGCCCGTCCTCCTGCATGGTGCATTTTGGGTGGCGTCAGACATACCTTTCTTCAAAGGGTGGGGGGATCTCCAGCTGGGAGACACTGGATGTCTTGTGCCCGAACCGGTCTCTTTGTCTCCTTCTCACCGTCCGACTCCTGAAACGGACGGACGTGGAATTTGTGGTGGAGAGTGGCAGGGACATTTTATCTGTGTTAACAAGGAGGATCCAAGCCCTAAACATGGTTCCCAAGTGGACCGGTAACCATGCAGATTTCTCTGGGTTGGAGTAACAAACCTGTGAGTCTCGTTAGAGTTGGTATGGCAGGACCCATTTTTTCAGTTGTGACAAAGTTCCTTCTCTGCCTCCGTGGGTCCTGCGCTTATTGGCAGATTTGCTCGCCTCAGAGATTCACGGCAGCCCTCAGTTTGGTCACTCTTGCCAGTGGCTCAAACCTGCCGTCCACTCAGCTAATCTCATAACTGGCCAGCGTGGGGGAAATGGAGAACAAACCCTGCAGTCTCTGTGTTCCACCTAGAGGGTCAGGGACAGGGCAGATCCCTTTCCAATTTAGACCTTCCCTTCTGGTGTTTCTCACAGACCAGGTCAACTCCTCCCGTGTCTGATCAGGGGCCCACGCTCTACACCAGGTTCCAGCCCAGGGCTCTGTGGATAGCAGCTGTCCACAATGTTCCCTGTATCAGCAGCATGACAGCTGCAACTCCCTGGGCTACTTCCCCATGGCCTTTGCCCCAGCACTTTCTTTATCCTCACTGCAGGATCTTCCTCCTGAAGCCTGATCACACTTGTACTCTTCACTCCTCCAGCAACACACCTTCTCACTCCCTGCTCCTGGCACACTCCCCTACTAACTGATGGGAGGTCCTTTTAAACCAGGTGTCCTGATTAGCCTGCCTGCCATAATTGAATCTAGAAAGTTCTTAATTGGCTCCAGGTGTCTTGATTAGCTTGCTTGTCTTAATTGGTTCTGGCAGGCTCCTGATTGCTCTAGGGGCAGTCCCTACTCTGGTCACTCAGGGAATAGGAAACTGTTCATCCAGTGGCCAATATAGAATATCAGAGTTAGAAAGGACCTCAGGAGGTCATCTAGTCCAACCCCCTGCTCAAAGCAGGACCAATCCCCAATTTTTGGCCCAGATCCCTAAATGGCCCCCACAAGGATCAAACTCACAATGCCGGGTTTAGCAGACCAATGCTCAAACCACTGAGCTATCCCTTCCTTTGGCTTTGACCAGACTCCTGCACCCCACTGGTCTGGGTCTGTCACACTGTATATATGTATCTTCCTACTGTATTTTCCACTGAATGCATCTGATGAAGTGAGCTATAGCTCACAAAAGCTTATGCCCTAATAAATTTGTTAGTCTCTAAGGTGCCACAAGTACTCCTCGTTCTTTTTGCTGACAGACTAACACGGCTGCTACTCTGAAACCTGTGAGAATCATTCTGTTGATAAGGGAAGTGGTGTGGCTTGAGGATGGAGTACTAGACAGAGTGGGTTGCAGGAAACCGGGGTTCTGCTCTTGTCTCTGCTAGGTCACCTTGGGCATGTCACTTCCCTTCTCTGTGCCTCAGTTTCCCTATCTGTTAAATAGGATAATGATATTGATGCTCTTGGTAAAGCACTTGCAGATCTACTGATGAAAAGCACTATATAAGAGAGAGGTATTATTCTCAATGTGGGGGCTCCATCTATTTTCTGTATCCCTCCTTTCCCTGCTGTGTCTGCTCAGCCACACTGAGGAAAAGCCCCATTGTTTGTTTGATAACTAACAATAATTACTTAGATTGCAAGCTCTTTGGGACAGGATCTGTCTTTTCATTCTGTGTGTATATGGTGCCCAGCACAATGGGGCCCCAATCCCTGACTGGGACTTCTAGGCCTCTGACCTCTCTATTCCTACTCGAGATTCTCCTGGTGATCACATTCGCTCTTTTGGCTACAGCTTCACACTGGGAGCTGATGTTCAGTTGATTATCCACCACCTTCCCCAAATCTTTTTCAGAGTCACTGCTTCCCAGGATAGAGTCCCCTGTGCTGTAAGTACGGCCTATAGTCTTTTTTCCTACATTTACATTTGACCATATTAAAATGCATATTGTTTGCTTGTGCCCAGCTTACCAAGCGATCCAGATCACTCTGAATCAGTGACCTGTCCTTTTCACTATTTACCACTCCCCCAATTTTTGTGTAATCTGCAAATTTTATCAGTGATGACTTTGTTTTCTTCCAGGCCATTGATAAAGATGTTAAATAGCATAGGGCCAAGAACCAAACCGGAGCCCACCGGAAAGAGACCTGCTCAGTGACCATTCCCGTTACAGTTACTTTTGAGACCTTTCAGTTATCCAGTTTTTAATCCATTTAACGTGTGCCATGTTCATTTTATATTCTAGTTTTTTAATCAAAATGTCGTGCTGTAGCAAGACAAACGCGTTACAGAAGTCTATTATGACAACACTATTATCTTTATCAACCAAACTTGTAATCTCATTAAAAAACAATGATAGGTTAGCCTGACAGTACCTATTTTCCATAAACCCACACTGATTTGCATTGATTTCATTACCTTCCTTTAGGTCTTTATTAATCATGTCCTTTATCAGCTGCTCCATTATCTTGCCTGGGATCGATGTCAAGCTGACAGGCCTATAATTACCTGGGCCATCCTGTTTACCCTTTTTAAAAATTGGCACAGCATCAGTATTCTTACAGTCTTCTGGAACTTTCCCAGGGCTCCAAGACTTATTAAAAAGCAACATTAACACTCCAGAAAGCTCCTCAGCCAGCTCTTTTAAAACTCTTGCCTGCAAGGTATCTGGACCTGCTGATTTAAAAATGTCTAACTTTAGTGGCTTGTGTCTAACATCCTCCAGAAATACAAGTGAAAAGTGTGCTAGCATCCCTAGATGATGAGACTGCATCATATGTTTTCCCCCCCAAATACTTAACAGAAATATTTATTGAACACTTCTGCCTTTTCTGCATTACTACTGATAATTCTGCCATTTCCATCTGGTAATGGACCAGTACCATTGTCAGGATTCTTTTTGTTCCTAATATATTTATAAAAACTTCTTTTGTCCTTAACTCTGCTGGCCATAGATGTCGTCTTGCGTCCCTTGGCTTCCCTTATCAATTTTCTACAATTCCTAACTTCTGATTTATATTCATTGCTATCAACTTTCCCTTTCTTCCATGTGTTTATAGCTGCCTTCACTTCCCCTCTAAACTGAGTAGTTTTTTTTAAGCAGCCTGGCCCCTGAATCATGGGATTGTGGCTTTCTGTGTATCTAGTAAGGTGTTCTTAAATGAGTCCCAATTATCATTCACATTTTTCTGACTAAATTCTTCCTCACAGCTGATTTGGCTCAGAGTTGTTTGCAGCTTTGTGAAATTGGCCCTATTAAAGCACCAAGTAAATATATTAGTGGTCTGGACTTTATTTTCATTGCACATTATACATGTAATCAAGTCATGATCACTTGAACTTAAGCTACTGTTATCTTTTAGTTGTGAGATCAGTTCTTCTTTATCTGTTAGGACCAGGTTTAACATAAAATTTCCCCATGTTGGCTGCAACACTTTTTGCGCTAGGTTTCAGAGTAACAGCCGTGTTAGTCTGTATTCGCAAAAAGAAAAGGAGTACTTGTGGCACCTTAGAGACTAACCAATTTATTTAAGCATAAGCTTTCGTGAGCTACAGCTCCCTTCATCAGATGCATCCGATGAAGTGAGCTGTAGCTCAGGAAAGCTTATGCTCAAATAAATTGGTTAGTCTCTAAGGTGCCACAAGTACTCCTTTTTTTTTGAGCTAGGAAATTGTCATCTCTAAGCTTTAGAAATTCCAAGGATGTTTTAGTCCTGCCAGCGTGAGCCCTCCAACATGTGTCACTCAGACTGAAGGCCCCCATGATCCGCAGCCTCTCCCCCCTACACCTTGTAGATAGGTGTGTAAGGAAGTGGTCATCCTCTTCCTTAGTGCGGTTTAAGGGGGCTGTGGCTGACACCAACTAATACCCCATTTCATGTTTTATCGGTTAGGACATAAGCATTCAGGATCATTTGCTTTGGAGTTATCAGTGACTTGGAAACCCTTTTTGACGTAGAGAGCTACTCTCCTTTTGCCCACTCGATCCTTCCTAAATCAGTTCTAACTATTGATTTGAACATTCCAACGTGAATAGCTCTCCAGCCGACAGCACCACCGGAGCACTGAAATGCAGACACCTCTAGGGTCGTGGACGACACCCACCCACCAGACATCATGCTACACACGAATGGGGCCACAGCCAGGACACCAAATCTTTACTCTTACCAGTAAAGACTGTGGGATCTTTAGTGTTCAGTAAATCAGACAGGGCCTTGGTTTTAACGGCCTCATAGGCGCGGGAACTAGCGGTGCGGGGGGTGCTGCAGCTCCCCTCAGTTTTTGCACGGGGTCCCAGCTGCCAGCTCCATGCCTAGGGCTCCGCTCCCAGACCCGCATGCGGGGTTTCAGCTGCCGCCGGACCCGAGCTTGGGGCTCTGTTGCCAGCCCCAGCTGTGGTCCCAGCCTTGGCCCCTTTACCTCTGTCCGTGTCCCCTCCCCATCCCGGAGCCACGGCCCAGTCCTGGCCCCGGCTCTGGGGAGAGGGGACACAGACAGGGGTAAGGTGAGGTGCAAAGTAAAAAGTTTGGGGACCACTGGCTTTCAGCACCCCCACTGTAAAAATTGTTCCAGCGCCACTGAAAGGTCTCATCCGAAAGAGCCCCACGGGGGTAAAATGCATGCCCCTCAAGCCTCTAATGCACGCCCTCTCCGAGCAGTCACCTTAAGCAGCTGCTGCAGCAGCACCAGCAGAAGCAGCAGAGTTTGGGGCCACAGCAGCAGCACCGCGAGTGCCAGGTCTCGGAGAGCCGCCTGCCTTTTTCCGGTGGGCTGGACTCCATTCCCTGGAGAGCAGGGGAGAAAGCAAGGCCAGGAGGATCGCCCACACACAGCTCTCCCACCTTCTCCTAATGGATGCACACCGTGGCCCTGACGAAAAACAATAGTGCAGAAGGCTAACAAGCCTGGAAGGAGGATCTAGAATGACAATCTAGGATGGTGACGAGACTAAGGGTTTAGAACAAGAAGTGCAAAGAAAGCAGAGACTAGGGGACCACCCCAGGCCATTCGGAAGGGAGGGAGCCATCACTGCCCCCAGAGCATCCTCTACACGGCAAAACACACTCACCCACTGGTCCCCTCTAGGCTGCACCCCACCCTAGGGCACAGGTGACCCTATTTAGATTTGTGGATCCCATTCTGCAGGGACTCTCCAACCAGCCCCCTCCCTCCACACCCTTCTCAAAGGGTCCTTCCGTAGCCCGGAGGGGACGGGCGCAGAATACCACTGGCTCTGCTGGGTAGATTCCCTCGGGGTTGGGGGAGCAGAGGGGATGCTTGCACCCTAAGTCCCACGCCTCAGGGGGGCGCTGTAGTCTCTCGGCAGCAGGCGCGCCAGGGGGACGCCGCAGTGCCTTCGCTTCCCAGCAGGGGGCGCTGCCGTGTCCCGACGCGGCAGCAGGGGGCGCTGTGCCGAGCGCTGGGTCTCCGGCCCCCGCCGCGGCCCCAGCTGGGCTGCCCGAGCGCTGCAGGGGGGAGCGGGCGCCCCGGCCCCCCTCGCTCCTTCCCCTGGCAGCGGCGGGGGGCAGCCGGCCGAGCCCCTCCGCCGCTGGGCAGCGCCTCCCTGGTTGCAAAGCCCCGGGGCAGCGCCTAGCCCAGGAGCCTGCCCGCCCCCGTTCTCCAGCCCCCCCGCGGGCCCCGGGGCGAGCCCCCGGGGCGGGCGGTACCTACCTGAGCCCTTGCCGCGAAGGAGCCTGTTGGCTGGGGCTGCCTGCGGAGAGCTCGTGGGGCCGGAGCGCGGCGGGGGCCCGGGGCTCCTTCCCCGCTCGGGCCGGCAGGGGGCGGCCGAACCCCGCTCACGGAGGCGGCGAGCTCGGGGCATGCACACCCACCTAGCTATCCCCATCCACTAGCTATCCCCATGCACACATGGCTAGCTGGCCTTGTGCACACCCATCTAGCTAGCTAGCTGTTCCCAGGCACACCCATCTATCTGTCCCCACCTACACCCCTTATCTAATCTATAGATCTGTGCATTTCCATCGGTCTCTCTTTCATCTGCATTATTATTATTCCAGTAGAATCCCTATCTTACAACCCAGTTGGGAACTGAGGAGTTCAGAAAAGCAAAACGTTCATAAAACGGAACATCTTGAAACGTACAGTAGGTCCAATGCAGTATTGCAGGATGGGGCACCGTCTTCGCTTTCTTCTTGCCCTTCGAACCACTGCATAGCGATTTCCAGTGCACCGAAGGTTTTGGAATGGGGAGGGATGTCGACTTTTTCTTCACCAGCATTGCTTTCGTCAGGTGATATTTTTTCCCCCTATCAGGGAAATAGGTTTGTGTGACTGGTTGTTCGTAAGATTGGGGTTCAGGCAATCGAGGTTCTACTGTATTTATTATGTGTATTGCATGGAAGCCCCAGGACCCCACTGTGCTAGGCCCTGTACAGACACAACTAGTTCTTCCTGGCACTTATTTTGGCATCTATAGGGCCAGCCCCAAACATTACAAAATCATGAGTTAGACACCGGCCAAATTCATGAGATTGGCTTGACAATGATGTGACACTTAAAATAATAATTGCTGGTGTTTTTTTCTTTTTTTGCTTTGCCTTCCGCTTTCAGATGCGTGTATTCAGGTCTTGTTCTCCAGCTAGTCTCTGCAACCATAATGGCTAGAAACTTGCTTTTTAAAATACAAAAATTGAGAAATCACAGGGCTCCAGGAGCTGGCGCTGTAAGACTAACATCTCATATTGCAAGAGTTGGCAGTAGTTGACAAGGGGTTAACTGGGTAACTCAGTATTATGGGTTGGAGACATCCTCCCCCTCTCCCTTTCTTTCTGTTTAGTTAGTGGGTGTCTTCTCACACTCTGTTACGGGGTCCATAAGGCAGCCCATTCCCAGCCTGCAGTACGGTAAGCAGTGTGCTTCTGGTGCACTGCTTGGTTCCTTTACAAAAGTGCCTATCTTCCTAGCTGCATTCCTGCCCTCTTTAGCGGTGGTTCCACCGTAGGTATTTATCCACCCCCCATCACTGTAGTATCTGAGAGCCTCACAGTCTTTAATGTCTTCACTCACACTAGCCCCATGTTATCCCCATTGCATAGATGGGGAAACTGAGGCACACAGTCTGGATGATTTGCCCAAAGTCACACAAGAATTGACGGAGCAGGAAGTGGAACCCACTCCTAAGGTAGAGCCCTAACCACTGGACCATTCTTCCTTTCTCTGGACAGTCCTATGTGATAACAGTTTAAGTACATAAAAGGCTGTTACAAGGAGGAGGGAGAAAAAAAGAACGTTCTTCTTAACCTTGGAGGCTAGGACAAGCAGCAATGGGCTTAAATTGCAGCAGGGGAAGTTTAGGCTGGAGATTAGGAAAAAACTTCCTGTCAGGGTGGTTAAGCACGGCAATAAATTGCCTAGGGAGGCTGTGGAATCTCCATCATTGGAGATTTTTAAGAGCAGGTTGGACAAACACCTGTCCGGGATGGTTTAGATAATATTAAGTCCTGCCATGAGTGCAGAGGGCTGGCCTAGATGACCTCGAGGTCCCTTCCAGTCCTATGATTCTATGATCACGGTTCTACGTGAGCCCTCCTGGGATACGGATGGTAACAGTGGTCCCCGTCAGAATCAAAACTCTCCTGCAAAAGTGAGCCCGTCCTCCTAAGCCCCCCAGTGCTGAATAATGAGCACCCCCCCCCCTTGTCACCCCACCTCCTGTAATTGGTAAAGCACCATGCGCTGCTTGGCCCTCAGGTACATGATAACAATTAGTAATAACCCTTCCCCAGTGTGGCCTGTTATGATTCATTGATGAATCTGTCTCCAGGAGCTCCTTTGATGGATGTATCTGTCAGCCTTTAGCCACCTCGCGAAGCAAGCAATCAATGAGCTCAAGGTGCAAAACTCGAGTCAAGGTGAACCCTGAGACAGGGCAGGCGCCGTCTGTAACGTGCCCTGGATAACAACCCACTGTTGACCCATTGCAGAGCTGGTGGTTACACAGCTGGGCTGGTTGTATCGAGCCCCCTCTGGGCTCAGCCGAGCGTCCCCATTCCCGGTACAGAGCTCAGGCCGCCTGTAAAGAGGTTAGCCGGGGCTCGTCCCTCTCTGGGGCGGCAGGGAGCCACACTGCCTCACTACGCACCGTTGATGTCTTGGGGGAATTAGTCCGGCCGCGGGAGTCTCCCTCGGCGGCCCTTGCGGCAACTGCAAGAAAGCACAGTAAGCCCGGGCCCTCGGTCAGGGTGGGGCAACAGCGAGTCAGGCCCTCAGTCAGGGCTGAGCCGTAATAGTACAAATAGTATCAATAAGCCCAGGCCCGGGCGGGGCAACAAGGAGTCAGGCATGCAGGCCCTCGGGCGGGGGCTGAGCGGTAGCAATGAGCCCAGGCCCTCGGACAGGGGCTGAGCAGTAGCAGTACCAATAGTAGGCCCAAGCCTCCAAAGGGCCTGGGAGAGGGGGAGGACGGCCACCCGCGAGTTGGGTGGCAGGGGGAAGGCAGGCCCTCCCACTCCACTGCGTCCCCGCCCGGGACCCGCTGCTGTGTCCGTGGGGATCCTGGCCGCAACACGCTGACGGGGCTCGGGCAGCGCGGCAGCCAGACGAGGGTCGGCTGCCCCCGGGCTGCTTCCACACTCCCGCTCTGGAGGTATCTGGGTCACGGTGGTGTTTTCCGGGGGGGGTCCAGCACCATGGTTCCTCAGGGTAGTTGGCGAGAGGCAGGCCCGGCCCCTTCTCCGGACAGCGGACGAGAGGCAGGCCGGGGGCGCCTGGCCTCTCCAGCAGCTGTCTGTCCAGGGAGCTCCGAGGTCGACCCTTTATACTTCCGGGGCGCCACCTGACTCTGAGGGGCGGGCTCAGAGCTCCCTAGCTCCGCCCACTCTGGTGGCCCCTCTACAGGGCGGCAGGGAGCCACACCGCCTCACTACACCGCCCTTTAGCTGAAAAACCAGCTTTTTCAAAACCGCACTCACCCTTGCTGGGGGGGGGGGAAGTCATGGAGTCAGCTTGCTCCTTGGTGTAACGGCACTAGGGGGTGGGGGGGGCGTGTTGCAATTGTTGCCCTGAACTGGGGCTCCTAGCTCTATGCTGGGACCTGGGCCCACGGCGTGCAGAAAAGGCATGATAGAGACCCCAGTTTGACTCCCCATGCTGCTGCTCACTCCCTCTCTGACTCGGCCCCTGTCTCTCCTGCCCCTTCTCCTCCCATCTCCCTATCCTGCTCCTTCTCTTCCTTTAAGCTTCCGTTCTCCCTTTCCCTCTTTTTCATCCCGCTCTTGTCCTCGCTCGGTTCCTGATGTTATTTCCCCACGGCTCACACCCCATCTCCTGGTCCTGGACCCTGTTCCCCCTGCCCTGGCAGGACACAGCAAACCCTCATTGAGTTTGGTGCAACATACTCATATCCATCAGGCCGGGGGTGGGCAGGGGGGAGGAGAACAAGGCCCCCTGGTTGCATTTAATTTGTTTGTGGAGAACTCCTCTGGGGCTGAGCCATCCGACCCCTCCTGAGCACCCTCTCCAGATGGCTTTGAAGGTCTAGCAAGTGGGAGCCCTGGCTCGGGATCTGAGCACACCAGCACTCGCTGCTCGGCTGTGATTGTTTTCTGCAGCGTTCTGGGGTGGAATCCTGGCTCCGCTGAAGCCCTGGGCAAAACTCCCATTCACTTCAATAGACGCAGGTGCTTGGGGCTTGTGCTAGGGATCAGCTGAGAGGCTGCAGGAAGACAGGGTGAACAGGCTTAGTCCAGCCTCAGGGCCCCCACACTGGGAAGTGGCCCAAGGTGCCTGTGACTCCTGCTCTGCTGGTGATCTGGATAGGGTGAGGCGGATGGGTCGAGGCCAAAGTGATCATCTCCAGCCAGGCCTCCTCTGTGTGTGGGGCTGCTATGAAGCCCCCTACAGCAATGTAAAGCTGCCCTCCCCAAAGGCAGTGCAAAGTCACCCTGCCTGGACTGCTGCTTAGGGATGGGATGGGGTGCTAAATCCCTCCGAACTCTGTGGTGTTTGGATGGTGGGATGTTATAAGGAGAGGGGTCATTTCTCATCCAGTTAGGGGGTCCGCTCTGGGAGGGGATGGAATTTTGTTCAGATTTATCTCTAGCTCTGTTGGGACCCAGAAAGGGGAAGATTAACAGAGCTGTCCCACAGTGAGGGCTAAGCAGCTTCCCAGGCTTCCTATCTCTGGCCACTCCTTTCAGGTATAGGATATTGACTATAGGGCAAGGAGACCTTAGGCAGAATTGGACAAGGTGGCTGCCTCAGGTGCAGCGTTGCGGCCCCATCCCCATGGGGGTTTTTGTGGGGCATCCGAATAGGCCTAGGACTGCAGCTGGCAACAAGACCAGGCCTGCTGTGGTTACTTTCCAGGAGGATAGTTCCTCTCCACCTGGCAACTGCAGGCTTTGCCAGCTAGCACAATGCACAGGAGAGAGCCAGGGACTTACCTTTTGGTGCCCACAGCATAGCAACTTTGACTGCCTGTAACCAGGTGCAGACTCACCAGCGGCACCTCCTGCTGGTCGTCTCAGGGAATTAGCATTCTAGCCTCCGGAGCGCCCTCTGTCCACCGGTGTCTCGCCTTGCTGCTGGCTCCCATGTCCCTCCCAGGACCCCAGTGCCCCTTTAACTGGGTGCTGCCCCCTGGCAGTACCCCACAGCTCTGGGTCTCCCCCTCTCAGGGGAACCCCCACCCACTACCCCCACCTCACCTCAGTCCTAAGCTACTGCCAGTCACCAACTAGCCCCAGCTCCCTGGGGCAGACTGCAGTATAAGCCACTCATCACAGGCAAGGAGGTTTGGACCTGCTGCCTGTCTACCCGTGGCTGCCCCTGCACCTAATAGGCCTTCCCAGGCCTGGAGCCTGGGGCTTTCCTAGGCCAGAGCTCCCCAGGCCTTTCCCCAGTCCTGCTCCAAACTAGGTCCTCTATTCAGGTCTCTGCAGCCAGGTCCCTCCTTCTCAGGGCTAGAGAGAGAGTTTCTCTGCTCCTGGCTTTTATAAGGCCCGTTGGGTCTGTTTGTGGTGTGGTCCCCAGCTGCAGCTGTTCTGCCCATCAGCCCAGCTTTTCCCCTGCCCTAGCCCTCTCCCTGGGCTGTTTTAGACCCTTTCAGGCAAGAGCGGGTGGCCACCCCCCGCTACACTGCCCGAGTGGGCTGGGGGATACAGGGTGATGTGGACTCAGGCTGCAAGGTAACTCATAGACTCTAAGGGCTGAAGGCACCATCATGATCATCTAGTCTGACCTCCTGCACATTGCAGGCCACAGAACCTCACCCACCCACCCCTGTAATAGATCCCCAGCCTCTGGCTGAGTCACTGAAGTCCTCAGATCATGGTTAAAGACTTCGAGTTGCGGAGAATCTGCCATTTACACATGGTAACACGGTGGAACAGCTCCCACAAGCCTGGGAGATCTAGTGCCGAGCTCTGTTCCATACACTGCACTCAGGGGAAGCTGGGGATCCTGGAAATGAATGGTCATGGGTGGCCTCTGTCCAGTGTC